CCCCTGTTGCCTCCCCCCCCCCCCCAACTCCCTACGAACCACCGTTGTTGACGAAGAAGTAGAAGACAACCCAGATCCCGACTAGCAGCCACTGCATGTTTCCGCTGGACTTGCCCGAGTCCTTGATCTCCGCCGCTACGGCGTCTACCCCGGTTCCGTTTCGGGTCAACTTCTCCTCCAACTCCCTGTGCGAAAAAGAAAAAAGAGAGCGCAAGCACACGTTGTTTCGGTCCATGTATTGATTGAATAGCCAACGACGGATAACTCGTGCCGACAAACACGAAACGGCACACGAGTCCCACATGAGTGGGGTACATCATGCTGGTATGCAAACATCGCTGGCTTTGTGACCCTGTCAACAACCAAGCCAAGAAAGCTCGCGAGCTTTGATTGCAGAACGATTTGGAAGGCGAACTCACTCACAACGTTGACTGTCGCAACAAGAACTACGCTGATCTAGCCTCAAGATTTTCCACTCACGTCTACCAATGCACACTACCATCCACCTCCATGACTAACCCCGTCACCAGAGGGCGATGCCAAAAACAACACCAACCTGCGTGTTAATGTTCATGAAAAAAGGCAGCAGAAAAATGCATATCCGACTATCATCCTACAAGCCACGTGAATCATGAAAGGCTAAGACAGCGCACCGGAGCTTGCCCACTGCCGACGCCCTCGCAGGTAGAGCTCGGGGACCCGCGGAGCCCCCAGAGGAGCTGTTTGTCAATCGCGCGCCCCCGCCGGAGGAGCCGAGGGAGTTGATGCTACCCTGGATGTCACGCAGAACCACGAGCACGTCCTGAAACGGCACAAGGACGTGAAACGGTACAAAGCGAAACAAGCATTTCTACAGTGTCGGAGGGTGGGAGGAATGTGAGCATCATGATATGAGTCGACAACGCTGTAGGGGGGGGTGAGTGGTACGGGACTTTGAACAGGGTGTCTTCGTGTTCGTGTACCGGACGCAGGCACACCAATCCTAACGCCAGCAGTCTAAAAGCGCCCGCTTATTTTTCCCGCTGGGGATCGATACTGTATGCCTTTTATTTTCTTGGATTCGAGCTGTACTCAGAGACCACGCGAGTGGCGGCACCAATCCCCCGACCCCAGTCATGCACACCAGGTACATGGACTCCAAAAAACCAAAAGCCAATACCCGATCCTGCAACTACATTTTACACTATCAAAACAGTTGAGAAGAGCCGCAGCACATGTGTGCGACCCGAACGAGCCGCGGCTCTGAAATTGGTGGGCACTCCTTCCAAGTTTTTTTTATGAAAGTCGGCAATCTTCCGTTTTGGTATAGAGTGGGACAGGGAGGGGGTGATGCTACTGTAGTCGAACGGTGGGACGGACGTGCAGTTCAGTTTTTGGGCACGCATACGGTGCTGCAGGGATTTTTAGGTGTACCTCTTCGGGCTCTTGGATACCTTTTTCTCGTTACATGCGTGCGTATTCTTTAGATCCTCATATGGCTCTAGCACTTTCGTGACCACGGGCTGAGAGTCTTTTGCTAGATTTTGGCATTTAGCAACTGACATACGGTTTAATGTGAAGACAACAACAACAACAACTGGAGGGCTTGCCTTTCCTCTTCTGTACTGCTGCTTGCGACGGCAAGGCATGGAACTACGTGACGAAAGCCAAACACCCCGTGCCACACAGAGAAAGGCGAAGACAACAGCTCTTCCTCAAGCCAACCAGGAAAAGGGAAACACAACAAAGCACCCTCACACACAAAGAACAGCAACTCGCACCCACGACTCTCGACAATGATCAGCCCAGGATACTCAACAAAAACATATAAAAAACGAACGTACCTGGTGCCCCGCCCTAAGAGCCAGGAGCATGTCTCTCGTCTGCTGGTCAACGTCCACGAACAGGTGGTTTCCCAGTGATCGACAGCCGTTCATGTAGGCGGGGAAGATGGAATGCAAGATCCAAACCACCTGGACACAAACCGTAAAATTTGCGGCATTATATCGCGGAACCGGGGCCGGTGAGGAGAAAATTAGCACGACGTCGCCCTCATCAGTCAAAGAGTCGGTGGATGAGGAGGCGTGATTGGGCCGATTGGGAGCAAGCGGGAAAAGACGTGAACCAACCAGGGCTGCTGTATGGACCGACCAGACGAGGCAAAACTCGTCGATTCAAGCGAAGCGTGGCCGACTTAGCCGGCGTCCTCGCGTCATGGTTGAGTGATGTGGTGTGCGATGGGTACACGACGTTCGACGAATATTAGAGCAGCACCCCAGACAGAAATAGTTGCGTTTTTTTCTTGTTGTGCCAAGGAGCACGGATATCCCTTTAGGGTTCGGACGTGCCGATGGCTTATGCCTTCTCCCAAATTAATCTCCTGTCAGGCTGGCATGGTTTCGGCGCACAGGTCGGAAAGGCATGTACTCTGAGGTGCATCTTCTTGGCAACCATCAATCCAGGAAGACAAAGGTGTGCACACGGAGAGTAACTTCGCCGCACATGGTCAGATACACCGACAAACACACAGACAGGATATCGACCAGAGCGGTACAGGGTTCGCAATCGGGGCAGGGTGTTTTGAACTCAGTGCCGGAAAGTAACACGAGCACGCGTGTCTACCGTACAACACCAGCAATTGCAACAGCAGTAGCAGTAGAGGACCGCATGCATCCATCAGAGGCAAATAACCAACCCCGACGGACACAACCACCAACCCAGAGATCAGCAGCTGAAACCACCAACGAAAAACGCTCCGCACTCGTCTAAATAACCGCAAGGTCGAGGGAGCACCTCTTGTACGCACATAGATAGCAGTGGTGGCGACCTCTTCTTATCTTATATTCTTCTTCAGCTCGAACGAATCTCGTCCTTTGCAAACGCGCGCAGGAAACGCAGCACATGCAACCACAATCTTTGGCACCACCATTTCGTAAACTCGAACGAGTCAAGAACCGTTAGCACACCCACCCAAGAAGAGCAGAGCACATGCACCCACACAATGTCTGGGTACAACCCCTATCTCCTTCAACTCTAACGAATCCACTCCCTTGGTATGAACACGCGCACGCAAGAGGAGCAGGAAATGCATTACCCAGCCACGCACCTCGTACTCCGCCATGTGAGGGAAAAGCCAGGACGGCAACACCCCGTCGCCACCCGGAGTCGTGACGATCGCCACCTCCACCGCCAGCATGACGATCTGCCCGGTGAAGACCCAATCCCGCGCCTGGCGGTTAGCCTTCCCGAGAGTCATCACGTAAGCCAGAACTCCCCACGTGATGTACCAGATAGCCATCTGCGCAGCACGGGGGCGGAGAGCACTCATGTTGTTGGCGGTGAGACCATTGACCCCGTAAGTGTGTGTGTGTGTGTGTGGGGGGGGGGGGGGGGGGG